TTAAATAAATTTATCGTAACTCCTAAAAAAAAAAAAAATTATAATATATAGCTTTTATAAAAATAATAGAAAGCTCTAAGAAGTTCGTATTTAATATAAATAATTAGGGATTAGAACGACTTTAAATTATACCTAAGGAGTATTAAAAATATATAAAACTATTTATAGAACTTAAAAAAATAGGATTATTAAAATATAGTAATTAAGATATAAAAATCGAATTTAAAAAAAAAATATAACCTAAATTCTTCTTTATATATTTTATAAATTAAAAAGAATAAGACTATTTTAATAAATATATTAATAAAAAACTTAAGAAAGCATATATTTAATTTTTAAAATTCTTTGCGGGATTACTCTTATTTTTTATATTAAAAAAAAAAAAAAAAAAACTAAGACTTATTATTAATTATAAAAAACTTAATAAAATTATTAAGAAGAATTATTATTTTTTATTATTTATTATTAAGCTTAAAAACTTATTTTACAAAGCTAATTAGTTTATTATAATAAACTTTAAAAAAGTATTTAATTAAATTCGAATTAAAAAAATAAATAAATAAAAAAACGGTATTTTAAACTTATAAAAGATTTTTTAAATATTTTATTATACCCTTCGGACTTATTAATACCCTAGTAACTTTTTAAATAATAATTAACTATATATTTTAAGAGTTCGTTAATATCTTTATTATTATTTATATTAATAATATTTTTATTTTCTTTTTTAATTTTGAAATATATAAGAAGTATATTTATATAGTATTTTAAAAACTTTAAGATATTAAACTATATACTAAACCCTCTAAGTACGAGTTCTATATTTAGAAAGTAAACTTTTTTAGATATATTATTATATTAGGATAAATTTATATATAAATATTTAAAGTAAAAGTAGTTAAGGACTAGCTTATACTATAGAATATTAAAAACGTATAAAAATTCTTAAGATTTATTAACTTTTACTAACGATTTTTTAAAGATTATATTAATATTATTAAACTTCTTAATAATTTAATATAAAAAGATAACTTATTTATTTAGGACTTTAAATATAAAAAAGTATTTATTAAAGTTAAGAACTTAGTTATTTTTAAACTAATTATTATAATTTTAAACTTTTAAAAAATTTTTAAAATCGAGATTAATACCTCGGATTTTATTATAAAAGTAATTTTAAAATAATAAGATAAATAAAAAAAACTCTATTTATATTATTTTTATTTTAAAGTATTTTATAAAATAGAATTAAATTAATAAATCTATAATAAAAAATTAATAGCTATTATTAAAGTATTTTAAGAATAAAGGCTATAGTTATTTAGAACTAAATATAAAATTATAATTTATATAAATTATAAGAACTTTATAAATTTTATAATAAATAAGAATTTAAATAAATAATAAGTTAAATAGAGCGAGTTTTTATTTAAATATAATTTTTAAATAATTTATTAAAAAAGATTAGAGAATAGTAGAGCGGACGCTCTTAATAAAAGACCTAATTATAAAGTTATAATCCTTAAAGAAATATAAGTTATTTTTTTAAAAAAAAAGGATAGTAGCCTTATATTAATTATAAAACTTTTTATAATAGTTAAAAGAATTAATATTAGCTTAACTAGAAAAATAACCCCTAAGCTTATTATAAAAATTTATAATATATTTATATATAGTTATTAAGGAGTTATTAAAACGTAGAAATAGATTTATTAATATTATAATAAATTTATTATATATATTAAAATTATTAACGTAATTAAGGACTGCGCGATTTATAATAAAAATAAAAATAGCTTATATAAATTATATAGCGAGCTATAATTATTATAATTATTTATAAAAGTATAGTAATTAATTTTATAGGACTTTATTATTAAATTATTAAAGTCTAAGGAACTACTTATAAATATATAGTATAATAGTATCCTAATTATAGTTAATTAACTTATTAAGTTTGCTTATTTTATACTTTATAAAGAAGTTAATAATATAAAAGAATTAGCGTATATATTTTTTAAGAATATTATTACTATTTACGGTATGCTAAAAGAAATTATTTTTAATAAAAATATTCTATTTATTTTAAAGTTTTGGAAATCCCTAATTTTATAACTTAATATAAATTATAAACTATTAACTGCTTTTTATTTATAAACTAATAGTTAAATAAAAAGAATTAATTAGATTTTTAAAATATACTTTTATTATTATATAAACTACGATTAGAATAATTAAGTAATATTATTATTAATAGCCTAATTTATATATAATAATATAGTTAGTAAAAGTATAAGAGAATCCTTATTTTATTTAAATTACGGATACTAGTTAATAATATATAGAGAAGTACGATAGGGATTATAAGTTATTAAAGTAATAGTAAACGTAATAAAACTTTAAGAAATTTAGAAAAAAGTATTTTTAGATTTTAAGTTTATATATTAATATATAAAGAAAAACGTAGATAGATTAAGGATTAAAGGACTAATTTTAAAAGAAGGAGATAGTACTTATCTCTTTTATTATTATATTAAAATAAAATAACTAAGCAATAAATTAAATTATAAAAAACTTAGACTTTTCGAAATTACTTAGAAAATTTTAAACGTTAATTATAAATTAAAACTCCTAGATATAATAAAGTACTATTTAGTCTTTTATATTTTATTTCTCGAACTAGTACTTAAAGGTTTATATATAAAAAACTATATTATTATAGAACTTAACGAATTAAAGTATAAAGTTAAATAAATTATTAATTATAGGGTTAGGAATAAAATATAAGAATTCCTAATTAAATAGAAGAATTATAAATACAAAGAAAATATATAGGAGCTATATAATAACTTTTAGAATATACGAGAATTTTTAAATAATTACTAAAGAATAGCTAAGCCCTAAAAGGCTTATTCGTAACTAGAAAACCTAAGTTTATAAAGTTAATATTAAAAAAGGACTAGTTAGTCTTATTTAGAGCGCCCTAAGTAGCTAAATTTTTTATAATACGTATTTTTTATACTTTTAAAATTTTTTTTTTAGCTTTTTATTCTTTAACTAATTATATCCCGTAGTAAATAAGATCTAAACTATGTTTTTTTAAAAAGCGTTTTTATTTTTTTAAATAAAATAAACGATTTAGAGTAGTTATTAATTAGGTTTATAATACCTTTAAAGCCTCTTTTACTTTTTATTTTTTACGCTCTACTTTTTTTTATTCTTTAAAATAATAATTTATTATAATAAGTTAGTATTATAATAATTAATAAATAAAAAAGAATTTATAAATATTTGTTATATTATTATTATTATAATTTAATAACCTACGAGTAGCGTACTTATTATAATATTTAGAATTAGATAAGTCTATTTTATATATATAGTTATATTAAAAATAAAAAGAATATAGTATTATATTATATTTTTTATATATTATGAGGATATTAAGAGCTTAATAATTATACTTAATTTTATTATAACAAGCTTTATAAGAATCGGGTTTTTGAATATGACTTAATATAGTATTAGGATATTTATAAAAATAAAACTTAATAAACTTTAACCTAGGTTACGACTATTTATTTATAGGTTTACGGGACTAGATTTTTAAGGGGAGAAGCTAATATTATAACTTAATATATATAACTAACCTAGAGGTTAATTTATTAACTACGGTAATTATAATATATTATATAAATAAGTAAAATAGGGATACGGCTACTTTTTATAAAATAAAAGAACTATAAAATAAGTTATGTGTTAATAAAATAAGGATTATTTTAAATTAGATTAATTTAATACGACTTAGGAGCTAAACGATTATTTTAGATTAAATTAATTAAGGATAACCTAAGGGATAAAGGATATATTTAAGAACGAGACTTATATATAATATATATTTAAACTAAGCTTAAGGATAGACTTTTTATAGCTTTTTTAGTAATTAACTTAGTATTAAATCTTATAATTATTTTTAGCTATTTTTATTAAAAAACTTTTTTAATAAAATTACGATTAATTATTAAAGCCTTACTTATTTTATAATTTATAAAAATAGCTTAGAGGAAGTTATTTATAATTATAATATTATTTATTTAGTTATTATAGCCTTAACTTTTGTTAATATACTTATTACGACTAGCTAGCCGTAATACTCAGTCCTATTTATTATTAATAAAAGAGCCTCGAGATTACTTATAATAACAAATATAGTTAATAAATTACTACTTATTTACCCTATGTTTATAACTTAGTATATAATATAATTTATTTTATAATTCTTTTTATAAATAGATTTTTATATAATATTATTTAGATTTATATATTTAATAATACTTTTTATAATAATATAAATAGTTTAGCGCGCTTTTTCTAAACGAGGATTTATTTAGGGGAGTATATTATAATAGCTTTAACTATTTATAACCTTATTATATATTATATAACTTTAGTTATATAATTACTTAAGGTCTATACTCGCTTATATTTTCTATTTCAGGGCGAACCTCGTACCTATTTCTTACTTTTAATAGATAACCGTTCTTTATATTTAATGTCGATGCCCTTATTTGTGACTATATGATAGAAAGAAAGACGGTTAATATATTCGATGACTTCGTCCTCTCCCTGTGCCCCTGGGCAGACGGCAAGCCGACAGAGGCCGATGTGTTGGCTAGCTATGTCACCTGGACCTCTATGGTCCGCGCTGAGCACAAGTTCACAAAAGAAGCAATCTTGATGTCCAAGCTCTGGATGAACAAGGTGTGGAGCTGGGATCACTGCTTCAATGCTCTGGCCATAGCTGCCCTCGATCAGCAGCTTGGCCTCGACCAGCTCACCGTCGTCTTCGACCACCAAGCGCCAGACGGCCGTCTCCCCGATTCAGTCGACTGGCAGAACATTGAGTGGGGATTTACAAAGCCTCCCATCCAGGGCTGGGCTCTTTCCAGCCTCCTTACCCAATTCCCGGACATGAGTGACGCCAAACTGCAGCCACTCTACGATGCCACCGCCAGACTGACGGACTTTCGGATGGACACGTGAAGAGGCGATACCTCGCGTCTTCCGTTCTGGCCGCACGGTAACGATTCTGGTTGGGACAACTCCACCGCGGTCGACAGCACGCCCATGGTCGTCGGGCCTGACCTGACGGCTTACCTTCTTCTTCAGGCCAGCTGCCTAGAACAGGTCGCCAAACGCCTACGACGCGATAGCGAATCCGAAAGATGGACAAATATGAGAGATTTGCTGACCAATGCTCTCATTGAAGAATTATGGGATGGCGAGTCTTTCCTCCTGAAGAATGCTATTACAGGCGAGACCCTCAAAACCACAGCCCTTCTACAATTCATGCCTCTCGCTGCCGCGCGATATCTGCCGGATGAAGTCGTTGACAAGATGGTCGCAAGTATTATGTCCAAGCACCTAAGCGAGTGTGGTCTCGCCACCGAGGAGCTATCCTCGCCTCACTACGAGAGCGACGGTTACTGGCGCGGCCCCATCTGAGCTCCCTCGACTCATCTTGTGGAATCTGGCCTGCGTGATGCTGGCCGAATTGATCTGGCCAATGAGATCAGCACGCGCTTCTTACGGCTGTGCGAGAAGTCAGGATTTGCAGAGAACTTTGATGCTATCACGGGTGAGGGGCTGCGGGATCTGTCGTACACGTGGACCTCAGCGGTATACTTGGTTATGCGACGAGAGGCGGTTGAGAGGGACAATGCGCAATTATCCTAGGAAATCAGAGAGATGATTAGCATCATTGGAGTGGAAAACTTGTTTGAGCCCCCGCCAGTAGCTAAAGGTAGGTGATGATGTAGATGCCCTTGATCCGTAGGGCCTTGACACCGGTGTAGGTATTAGACCAACGTTAACATCTTGTGTAGGGGGGCTATGGTTGTGGATGAAGCCGTTCAGTATTTGATACAAGAAGAAGGAAATATTGAGTGCGTCAGTTCGTGGATCTCAAACATTGAAAATGAATTATTCAGCTAAGATAATTCGCGGGGTTGATGACCGAGTGGCTGCGCGCGGATTGGTGCGGCAATCGGCTCACGCAGCCGAGCACATAAACTTGAGGCGATGTTGGATTTCACAGCCGCCCAAAGCTTCCCTAGACACACCCAAGCAAACAGACATTTGTATGAAGTTCACCTGTGATGGTCTTATACACACCTACCTGGCATATCAAAGATCTGTCGAGTAATCAATCTCCCTTCTGACGCATTATATCATCCTTGCCCATGGCCTCGCAACCGGTCGAGACTCCTTCTGCGACAGGACCCTCATTGCATGTGTGTAGCATATGTGATAGGAGCTTCATGAGACGGGATTATCTGAAGCGACACAAGCAGACCCATATCACCGAAAAGCCTATCGAATGTAACTACTGTGGGAGGAAGTTCGCGCGCAGGTAACGTCATCTCGTTATATTTAGACAACTATCTACGTTCTCGGACCCTATTACCCGCACTCATTTTGTCCATGTCTACGTGAGATGCGACTGGCGTCTGAGAAGCGTCCCAGCTACGTCCTTATCGCCCTTGCAAGTGTTGGTCTTATCCCTGACATTTTCCTTTCTGTAGAGATGCTGCGCGGCGTCACGAGCAGCTTCATGTTGGCACAAACGCTGGCTTCAGGGGCTCCACCGCCTCGTCTCGGCACCTCAAAACATGTTCGCCCTGCGCCATCTCACACGTCAAGGGCTCTGGCGATATTCCGTGTGGTCGATGCGTGGACAAAAGCCTCGAGTGTCACTACAAACCCCCTCAACGTAGACATACTAGCTACGAGGATGACGTATCATTGTCAACGGGGACGTCTGGAAATTCCCGGCAAGAATGTCCTTTTCAACGGGATGATGAGACCCTAGCCTTGCAATTTGACGAAAGCCGTGATTGGCAGCTCAGGACCCCCTCGTGGAATCACCCGTCATACCCAAACCACTTGAGACAGCCACTCGGTCAAGATGCCGCGTTCGAGAAGCAGCACGCGGCTTCGAGCCTAGACAGAGATTTCAGAGCTAACGTACGGGCCATTCGAGGAACATTCCATACAGGCGTTAATGCCGAACGAGATATAGGCACGGGCCCTCAGGACCGCAACATGACGCCATGGGACGAACCAGCTCTTGACCAAGATCATATGGAGTTTCATCAGCCGACCGTATCTCAGGAACTCGCAGCAGGCAGCGCTGTTGGTGAAGGGGCTCAGAATTTGCCACAGGTAGACAACAATTATATTGCAGTAAACAGTCATACTCCAAGCCAGGGAGAGTCGAACCTGGACACGGTCACTAATGTATCACCTTTGAATCGGCAAGACCAGGTGTCGGCTTTCACAACGTACATGCGCGACGGATCATCCGCGACGGATGCTTCTGTCCTTGACAGAAGCCATGATACGATCAGCCATAGACAGCTCTATGTAAATGGTCCCGGCTTTCGTGAGTCGTAGGCCGACCGTGGCTTTCAAGAAAGACGTGCCACTATCCTACGACGCGGAGTGCCCGATCTTGACTCTCATCCTGATATGTCTTGGTCAGATATTCTTCGAGAGGAAATCCATCAAGCAAAGAGTCAGCCACGAAAGTCTCGCTTCACTATCCCGGATTCCGTCTATCAAGAGGTTCGGATAAGGCTTCTAGAAAAAAAGCCAAAAGCCTTTGCTACCCGAAAGGTACGCTGCCGACCTGGGGATTCTTTTGGCTCGGAATACTCTCGAATATCTTATTGAGTTGTATTTCGACCATTTCCATCCCCTACATCCTTTCGTAGACCGCTCCCTTCTGAGTATTCCAGTCTGGGGCTGGAGCCTGTGCATTGGTGTTGCCGCAATCGGGTCTCGCTATCCGAGTCTCCCAGAGCTGACCGACTTCGGCAAGCAACTCTGTAGTGCGTTGCACGAGCTGCTGTTGCGAGAGGCAAGTAACATGTCATCTTTGTACCCTTCAGCGTAAGTCGTGGCTAACACAAACGCTCTCATCAGCTAGACTTTGGTCGCGTTCAGGACTGTCTCCCATACATACAGGCTCAAACGCTCGCTGTTGTGGGCATGTGCCAAAGCCGAACTCACTCGCTAGTAAAATGTGGCTATAGTGCAATCTCCCTTGACTATAATTCTTGTCTCCAACTCCAGCTCCTTGAAGAGGACGACAAAATCGGGCTCTATGTCGAAGGTCAAAGTGCGGAGCAAGTTTGGCTTGCCTGGCACTTCAGTGAAACCAGGAGGCGAACCGGACATTTCATTTGGGTAAGAATGGCGAGCATCTCTGCTCTTGTAAAAGTTTGTTTGAATGAGCCTAGCTGACGCACGTGGTGGTAAAGCTTCTCGATTCTTGGCTTGCATTAGCCGCGAACCGCCCTCCAAGTATACCCTCTGGCAAACTGGCCCTTAAAATGCCTAGCACAGAACAGCTATGGGAGGCGGATTCCGCTGATAATTGGTTCAAGGCTTTTTCTCTCCAGACCGACACAGAACATAGCGTGAACACAATTCTGTCAGAGGAGTCTGTCCGGCCAAGTGTGCAAGATTCATTTGGCAAGCTCTGGAGCAGCCACAGCTCTCCTCAACCCGATCATCAACTGGGCGTCATCATTATGATACATATGCTCCTTCGCCGGAAGTGGGACATGGGACAGTACTTTGGTGAACCTGTCCCCCTTGAGATTGCCTACATCCACAAAATAGGCGGAAGAGAATCGCAGCAACAACGATACCTAGGCTCATTACCTGAATACGCCGAGTGGCGGGACTACGTCTGCGACTGCCTGGACCTTCTTCATTGGGACGCTGTGGGCTTCATATCGTAGTAGTCCATGTTTGAGTCTTCATCCATCCTCCATCTACACCTTTCCCGCCTCATCATTTTGGCACCTGTTGAGGCCCTACTCCAGTGAGCCGACACCAGAGCGACCGGCACCTTCAATCAGTGCCTACCCCATTCGGTATACGCATCGTCGGAACATCGAAGAACATTGAACGCCACTATTCTCTCTAGGATTCAAGAGGACATATACAAGGCACGGCTGGCTGTCATCCACGCTGGTGCCGTCCTCTGGCACGTCAGGCGATTCTCCTCTCATCTCGTTGTGGAACCTTTTGCAGTCTTTCTGGCGGCGCTGACTCTCTGGGCTTTCGGGAACTTTGGTCCTAGGCGCGAACACACCTGCTCCAGCTTGACATCCAGCAAACACACGGAGCGGTTCCCCTCGGGGGAGACTCCTTCGACCACTGGTGTATTCCCTTGTTCAGATTCATCTAACACGTCGTCGCCGGCTGCTCCCTCTCGTATGGATACCAATCATTCACAAACTCGTTCTTCTAATTCAACGCGCTGCGAGATTTCCTTGACCAAACGGCGCATACCACGCTTGTTGCAACTCGATCGCCCACTAGATGATGAGTTTGTACAGTACTTTATCAGGTTTGGCGGGAATACTCAGCTGTTCCTCGAAGGTGTCGATGACTTGTGCTCTCAAGAAGGCGCCGCGCAGATTTTACAGGAGGCATCAAGGATTTTGATTGAACAACCTACGTTCTGGCCTATATTAGTGAAATGAATATTTCGCTCGGAAAGGGATTGAGAACACACAAAGACAGCAAGATCAGTGTACTTTATCCAACCAGGTTCGCCACCAAGGCGGAAATGAACGGGGCGAAAAGCGCGCTGCGTTTGCAGCTCCCAGAGGAACCTTGCGCACGCATTTTGAAGATTGAGCGATAGAGTGGTCGATGCCGTTGACTGGAGGCGGATACGTTAGGGGTTCTTACAACCAATTCATGTTTGAGTGATCTTAGTCTTCGTCGTTTATTGGGCTACTTGTAATGCAGAAATATCAAACAAGAACATGGCTTCGATTGAGTATCGAGACTCTTGACTGGTTTCCCCGTGAACTTATGCTGTCCAGGCCAGATGCGGAATATATTGCTCCATGACCTATGACCAGGAAGGCTTTCTGCGTCAAGTACTTTGCGAGGGTCTAGAATTTGAAGTAGAGATGATGCCAGCTTGGCGATTCTCGGGCTCCAAAATCTCCCTTACAGAATACTAGGACCAGCCACAGGATATCATCCAGCACCTATCTAGGTACCTTATACATCCTTTGCCTTGAGATATGCTGAACCCTGCATGGATAAGGATCCTATCTGTACAACAAACATCATTCAATGGCACCCGCAACTACTCCTGGTCAATGGCAAACGACAACGAGGGGGTCGAGGCTAGTTCCAATCTAGCTACTGACTGTAGGGATCAATCTCATTTCCACCGCACTTCGTGTTTTCGCCCTTTCATCTTACCACCTCTTCCATCATGGTTCCTTCCTCATGTCTCCGATCCTTACAAAATAATCTACGGCCTCGTAGACCGTGAAATGACAGCCGAAAACCAAGGCTTTAATCTGAATAGCATTGATTCTGGTTGTTTCCAAGGATCTATCGTGACAATTCCCATTTTATGTGAAGCTCATAGTCTTCCTAATGACCGCGTATCACGGTCTTTATCC